TCCTATAATATCTCCATAATTTCCTTTTCCAGCAAGCCCAACTTTCTTGTTTTTGTTGTTGTGGTTTTTTGGAGGGGGGCAGGAGCCCATTACTATTAATCTATTGAAAATGACTCTTGATTTTGGAATTATACTGTATTTTCAAATATTTACAGCATTTATCCCAAATTTATTTTGCTTTTCAAGTTCAAAAATCTCGTGCAATAAGAGTACTAGTAAGCAATGATTTCTTTTTCGAAATATGCCATTAAGTACCGTTTCCTCCGTTTACAAGCCTCCCGATCGAGCAGTTAGGGACCAATTCGCGTCTTCACTTATTGACGCAGTTCTATTGTCTTCTAGGTTAAAGAGATGTTAGTTTCCGATGATTTTAAACCTAATTGCGCTCTAATTATACTGGATTTCCTGATTCGACATGGGATAATCGACCCTGACACAGGTAGTTGTGATAATCATGATRTATGATTACTATGATTATGATGATCATGATTTGATGACGTCAATGTTGAGGATCAGGACAGGGTTTATTTCTGAAAAGAATTTTAAGACTTTTTGATATATGTTTATTGCTTAATGATCCTCATGCAGTCCGTGCATTACAATTATAGACATTTTTCCTTTTAGAACCTTTATACGTGGATTTTATACGAGGATGCCATCAATTAGCCGGTGTTTAATKAGACGTCTTCCTCCCATCCATTGAGATTTGAGTGCTGTTTGAATCCATTACGTCAGAGCTAATTGACAAACTGAACAATTTACGAATTGAAGCAGGTGCTGAAGATTTTTTGTGCTATGAATAATGATTTTACTATATATATAATTGTCATATGAATGCTTCCTGTAATCTATCGATAGTATGACATTAAAATCCGTGACGCCGGCCATTGTGCTTTTTGAAGTAATATCTTGTATAATTTAGCAGGTGTGCCATAGAAGTATGAATTATCGCTTATAAACAAATGATAAGTACATCCGCTCAAGCTATAMGTTGTTCCTATAGTTTTTCTTCGTTTTTATGAATGGCTATAATCTCGGATTATGTAAGGAAAATCTAATGAGCCAGATACATTTTTTTTGTTTTTCCAAACCATTAATATATAAAACTACATTTTCAGAATAGAATAAAAGTCAATAGAAATTATCCTCAAGTCATTTCACTTTTATTTTCTCGGGTTGTATGTGTTCCTTCTCTATACGATATATTTTTGCAATCAGTCATACGAACTACAGTAGTGGCCATATGTTCGCGTATGCTATGTCAAAACACTGACAATTGCGATCTAAAATGGAAAAAGACGGGAAAGTGGCGAACTTTGAATAATATATTATATGATAAATGTTCTTTGTCGGCATTATTCACTGTCCAATTTAGCTCCTGCAATATTTTAAATGTTACGTAATGTCTTGGAAACTATTTTCCCTGCGATTAATACGGAAATTGTGCCAAGCGATCTYATTCATTTTCTTGACGTTGTTTTTCTTCGATTTTCAGTTTAAGAATTTAGAAGAAAACATTTTTTACGCTTATCTCGAGGCCTTTTATCTGAAACTCACCAATATAGTTCCAGGAGTAATGGTTTTTATAATGTGGACTGGATCATACCATTCCGTGCACCTTACGTTGGGAACGAAAAGCGCATAAAAAGCTGGAATAATTACCAAATAAATACCAAATATCGATTAGCAGTATATTTTTTTTTAAATGCAATGACCGTTTATTAGAAAACGTGCYATGTGATACGTATTAGATTTTTTTTAGAAGCAGTGTGTATGTATTCCTATATAGTATTGTATGCCTTTTTTGTTTGGTATATTCTTTAGTAGAGTTTTTATTTGTAATCTAGTTGTAATAAAATAACAATACACGAATGCAATTAAATGCGTAGTTCAAACAATAACATTTATCAGCAATTTCCAAAAGTAGACATACTTCCTCGTACTGCCTCATTGCGCTCATTTAGGCTTCTTACCAGGTTCTCTTTCGCTCTGTGGATGCTAATTTATCATCAAATCCGTGCTAAATATACATGAATATCACTATGATTCAATCTACATAATCCACGTAGCTTAGTGGGTTACAATGAGCTTGGATCAGTGATCTGTACTAACTATTAATCAATTCGATTGCTTAACTACTAGCTGTCTAGTCTCTAGCGTGTGAAAAAAGCGTCTTTTAATTGTGTATCCTTTCCATCAATGCTCTGTTGATTTACAAAGAAAAGGTAAATAACCCGGCTATAAATCGTTTAAACACAGCCAACAACGTGAGAAGGTCGACTGGCGTGGAGCTAAAGTTGGCGCTGATTTCAACCACTTCACATGGGAAAGTACAACGTTTCAACTACTCGTTAACATGGACTGAAAACTAAGTACTTTAGTTTTGTCCGCTTACGGAGCATACTTCAGATTTCGGTGGATTACCTGCTGAGCTCTTTGTAAAACATTCTGTCATCTAGCCAGTAGAAAAACAGTACAGAGCAACGATGGATAATGGTATCACAGAGACTGCTAAAGATAACAACCCAAAGAATACTAGACTTCGTGTCAATTTGAATTTCCAAAATCCTTTAATTGGACTAAGGTCGACTAGGTTCAGCTTAACCGACAAGATGGCAGAATGTAATAACAATCTGAACGGACGAGATCACCCAGAGACGAAGAACGGTAACGTTTCACTTAAAAAAGTTCAATTTAATGTCGACTTGGAGCAAAATTACTCGAATTTGAAAGCTTCTTTGAGCGAACGAAATGCAGAGGTGAAGAAGCAACAGATCGTAGGACCAACTGGGACGGTGAGAGGGTTTAAAAATATAATCAAAGAACGACAAATGAATTTTGACAAATTAAGTGAATCAGAGGTGAGTTCTGTTRGAACAACTTTGTATTCGTTCTGTTTTAAATAATTCAAAAGTCAGCACGACGACGGAATCTGATCGTAAATCTTTCTCAACATTTGATATGACAGGTCGAAACTGAAGAACAAGAAGATGGAATCGTGTTTTACTCAACGACTATGGGAGGAATTCGATCTACAGTAGGAGACTGCAGAGTCATAAGAAACATCTTTGAAAACCACCGATTAAAAGTTGACGAGAGAGATATATTTATGGAAAAGAAGTACCAAATCGAGCTCGATCGTCGCCTGAAAATCGAAGGAGCCCAAGTCCCTCAAGTATTTGTTAATGGTGTATGGCTCGGGGTGAGTACATAAATACGAATCTATTCCAATAATCAGATTATTGCAGTATTTTTGTACATACATGCCAATGTTTCTATTTGTTATATGCAAATATTGATGCAAATATTGAAAACGTTCATTGAAAGCGTTTTGTTGAACAATTGCTTTAAKTGTGCTATTGTTTCATCGTAAACTTCTTTGAAACACACTCAAAAACACTCAAAACACTGTTTACTAAAGCCMAACTCTTTTAAAACAAGACCGAAGTGCTAAGAATTTACCAGCCATGCAACTTATTGACTTGGAAAARTTAAACCACGCGTTGGCAATATGAAAGCTCGTAACACCTTGCGAGAATTTACCGTACCTGTAGTAAAATTGTAATAAATATATAAAACAAATTGYAAAAACATATAAAGATCGTTTTTTTTTTCTTAAAAGCTTCTATATTCACTAAAAAATGTGTGCACTGTATATTAAAATGTGAATTTTTCAAAATGCCGCCAAGAGGTCGGAAACCACCAGTTAGCTCATATTGCGAAATAATCTTTTGATAGTCAGCTGGCACAATAACTATCTCATAATTCTAATTCTTATAACAGCCAGTGTATTCTTCAAGRAAGGATGATTAAGTTGGCTAGCTACCCCCCCCTTTTTTGGGGGGCTAAAATTTGCTAGAAATATAAATTATGATAAAAATGAATAAAATTAGTAAAATCTGATTGGGACCGCTCAGTTCTGAAATACAAGTAAAGAAATTTTCATCTGAAACGAATTTCGTTAAATCTATATTTTCTGCAGCCCTTTATTTTTTCTTTCCATCATTCTGTATTCGCAACTGTTCCTATCTATCAGGCAAAGATTTGCTGTAGTAAAATTTTAATTTTTCGTGTRTGTAGACAGTATTCCGACGGCTAGACTAATAGCAATTGTGTTATTTAGTTCCATTGATGAGTTTGGCCGCTGTCCAACCTTTCCAAGGGCTACAACTTTGCACGAAATATYATAATTTTCGCCGTCGGCAAATTTACGGTGTTTAATTACCGAATACGACGCAAACGTGTTTCAGCCAGTTAAGACACTAACATCCACTGGCTTTCTTTTACATTTTAAAGTTGACATGATATGTTTGTTCACTGTTCAGCGTGTTTAACGTTTGTATAACTTTAATTTGTCAAGTCGTCCAAATTGTCAAAAACGTATAAACCTTTTATTGTTTAATACAGCTGTTTCAGAAAAGGTTGTCAGGGCAATCTGAGAATGCACGACCGAAAGTTGCTATGGGAATTGATTATTGATGGTGATATTCACTCATCAAAGGCAGTCAATACTGCTGTTCCATAAAGATCTTTATTGATGATGACTTGTTTGTTCGTGTTTTTTTTCTGGGGATGCGTGCCTATTATCCATCAAAAATGTAATGTTTTCATGAAAACGTTGTTGAAAGCTATATGAAGCAGACTTATTTCATGTTTAGATAATATAGGGGATGTTTA